AGAAAATAAGCAACAACTCGCAAAATTCAGACTTTTGTGTTTTTAGAAGAATTCTGCACAGTAAAGGAAACCCTGTTAAGGGTTACCCTTGTTTTCTTCATCCATGTGCAAGTCTCATGGCATTCAAGCTGCTAAAATCCTTTCTTCCCATCATCTTAACTAGTCATTGAAACTGGAAGGGGGAGAGTGATTGTTTATATCCTCTTCTGTAAACCTTTCAGCCTTCCTGAAAATGTGGTGTTACATATGAAACCCTGTCATCTCCAGGGCTTCACCCTCCTCCCTTCATGTGTTGTTCCACTTGTCTCAGCAAAATGAAGATTTGTTGCCCCTTGAAGGTCACTTTCCCCTGAGAAGAAGGAGCAGTTTGGAAGGCAAGATCAATGGTTTTGGTTTATTATCAGTTCACTACTCAAAATTCAGTTGTAACACAACCACAAATCTTAATCTCAGGCTAACGGGAAGCAGATATATTGCATTAGACTACAAATAATAGAGAATAATATGTTTCTGCATTTAAGGTAAAGAACTGCTTTGATGATAACTGCCAGGTAAAAAAATAAAATAAAAAAATAAGGTAAGATGTATAGAAAGTAAAATTTTGGAAGTTACAAAAGGAATCTACATGAGTTTGCTCGAAATATTATTTGTGTCCCCTCCTATAGACAGGAAGGTTGTCTGAACGTAACTCAGAAAAACAGCATTTTTTCTTCTGCATCATACAATCCCCATATAACAAGCAGATGTTGACAGGAAAAGGTTTGGGTTTTTGTTGTGGGTTTGGTTTTGTTTTTCCTCTCTGTCTTTCAGCTGTCCAGATCACCTCTTAGCTCAAACAGGAAACTTCATAGGGAAGTTGCAGCACTGCATACAGAAAAAAAGCTTGCAAATGGTCTACAAGCCCATGCACAGAGTTCTCTCAGACCACCAGCTTGGCTGATCAGAGACATGTTGTTATGCAGACTGCACGTAAGCCTCCCTTTTACATCTTGTGAAGGAAAGAAACTTTAGGATTTGTGGCAAAGAGCCTGACATCCACCCCTGTGAGAACTAAACCACAGCAAGCATCCGACCAACGCAGTGCAGCACAGGCAGACTTTGGTCTTATCTCCCTTCAGGCCTCTGTCTGGTATGGTTAGCTTGATTTACAGAAATGCAATTACCAATCACCTTGCAGAAACGCACATCCTTAGTGAGAGCCTATCCCAACACAGGGACAGGCTGCCAAATGCAATTTTGACCCAAAATTGTCAAAATCAGAGCAAGTGCGAGGATTTCTTTTACCCTGCAGAACAAACCAGCCAAAAATGAGACCCCATACACTGCATGGAAACCAGAAAGTGCGTGCTCAAAGGGAGGTGCTCTCTTCTGGGCTATGATTCATCCCAGTGACCAAGAGCCAGCCAAACCACAATGGTTACCTACAGAAAGGGGTCAGGGAGCTAAAAGACATGAATTTTTAGAAACTAAAGCCAAAAACAAGAGGGGGTTGGATAATATGAAGATTGATATAACCTAAAAGTAAGCAAAAGCAAAATAAAGGCAGAGAATAAAATTCTCTGACATGAAATGTCCAATGGGGTGAGTAGCCCACATTTCTGAAACATTTTTCCTTAAATCCCCAATGTATGAAGGATTTCAAACTGATCTCATTTGAAGTTGCTCCCCTTTGCTTTAGCAATGAACTTCTGGTCTGCATATGGGATATCCAAAATGATGTGACAGCTCTTCCAGCAACTAAGGTACTTCAATCCTCCACATTAATCTTCAAGCTTCTTTAGTAACTCGAACAAGTTTGCAATTTGAGAAGTTCTTTCCTCTCAGAAACAGTCCTGGAAACAATGCAGTTTAGAAATATTACTGGGCAAAACAGAGGGGAAACAAAATTTGAGAAGAATTTCAGCTTGAACCTAAAGTGCTGAAAGCTGAAAGTGGTATTCCTTTGCTGTGCTGACACTTCACATTCCAGACTAGAAGCAAGTAGAAGGTTATCTAGTTACATTACTAAAATTTCAACCATTCCATCTGATGTCCTCCAAACCAAACACCAATTTTATTTTGGTGACACAAAACAGTATGGCCATTCTAAGAATAAAATTATCAAAAATAAATTTTGTCCTAGATGGAAAACTATCCCCACAATACTATCACAGCTATTTTAACGGTTATTTTATAATCCTAATATATTGAAGCAAGGATTGAGAATTGGAAGTGAAATTTAGGCTGTGAAGTTGAAATGTATTCCTAAATTATGGCACATCCAGCATTTTTCAGAAGTTTTACCAAATGCTTACAGAGTAAATGAAACAGTAGTCAGTCCTAAAGACTTCTAACTGGCCCAAGTTCTCGTACATTTTTAGTATGATGGCAAAAGGCATATCCAGGAAACAGCTCATCTTCTGCCAAAATTAAATCATCTCAAAGACGCTCATCAGAATTTTTTAAATGTACTTAAGAACAGAGCAAGGTATTTTCCCATAGTCTTTTTCTCATAAAATGCTAACGAATTCTGACTCATTTTCTGAAAGAAAGAAGAATAATCAAAGAAAGGAATTCAGCCAGAGGCAGATGTTTAGCATGGAATATTTCAGCCTAGAAGTTAGTCTGACAAAATGGTGAGCAGCCAAACACAAGGTTTTGTAATGACACATGTGAAACTAGGACAAAAAGAGTATTAGCATATTAGCAGTGTTGCAGGTCTGTTACTATAGACAACATTAAAAATTTTCATTCTATTAAAAAGACAAGCCTATTCAATAGCTATTTCTGTTCCATATATCAGAAGCAGCAAGAGGATGTCCTCATACCACATAAGAATGATAAAGAAATCTCCTACCCAGTAGTAACTCAGGTGGAGGTGTAACCAATGCAGAAGGCTTCACTAGTTTTAAGTGAGCATGCCTGTATAATTTTCAAGATATCATTTCTGAAGAGATTTGGCTAAAGACATTTCTGATTCTCCAATAGCACTTTTTAGTGAGTGTTCAAATACTGGTGAAATTCCAGAGGACTGAAAGGATGGTGATATTGTGCTACTATTCAGGAAGGGCAAACAAAGTGGCTTACAGTAACTGAAGACCAGCTAGCCTGTCATCATATCTAGGCAAAGTGACTGGAAAAATAAGTAAGGAATTAAGGTCATAAATACAATGTGCTATTCTGCATGGGTGGCATTCTGAACACATAGCACGCAAATGGCCACAGGATGGAAGCCCTCCAAAGCTCCAGGGAGAAACAGTGAGACTAACCCACAGTTTGGGCATGACTTTTAATCATACAACCTTCTTAAGAAAATCTGACCATTTTCACTGTGACTAATGTACCCTTTAAGTGGAATGCAAAAAAAAAAAAAAAAAAAAACTTTTTTCAGAGAACTAATTTTGTGAATTACAGTTAGTGCTTTTTACCAGTGGAGAATTATAAATGAGTAACAGCAGATCCAGCAGGATTTGGAAGTAGATGCTCATGCTAATAAATGATTTCATCATTGACATAAAAACAAGTTAAAAAACTGTAAGAAACTGTGGGGATACCACAAATACAAGTAAATTCATGACTAATAGAGGACAGGCTTGAGATACACAATGATCTGAACTCTGTGGTTAGCTGGGCATACTCGAAGCCAACCTGGATACAGCGCAAATACTTCACCGTGTTCAGGTAGAAGAAATAGAAAGAGTAGGTGGGGAGTGGGAAACAGATCTCAGAAAACAACAGTTATAGAAGTTATAAAATCACATTGGACAGTCAGTTCAACTTGAAGTCCCAGCACCATGCTGTGACCAAAGCCAAACCAGACCCAAACACTTACCACAGGCCTTGAACCTACAGGAGGCTGAGAAGTGAGCTGGATATTAATGAGACTAAAACTGGAAGAATACATACAGAGTAGCTCACTCTGTTCTTAAGACCACGCCAAAAAGTTTTAGAGGGTGCAGTAAAGAGCCAAGCAAATCACTTGAACACTGATAAAAATGTTTTAGAGACCCTTGAAGAGCTCAGTCTATTTAGTTTATGAAAATTGTGAGGCAGTACGGTTTTGCTATGCTTTGCTATGCCAGAAAGGGAAAATGTCACATACTGAAGAGCTCTTTAATCTAATGAAGAAACAAGAAACAAAAGGGAGGAACTAAAGCCAGACAAAATCAGCTTTGGAACTTTTAAAAATTTGGGAGTAGAATTAGGAAAACACTCTCAAGGCAAATGATAGATTCACTTATCTACGTTTTCAAATTAAGACTAGAGGACTTTCTGAAAAATAAATGCAAGTCAATATGGGCTCAGCTTAATACAGAATAAATGCTTGAAATTTCAGAGACTACAGTCGCACACACAAAAGTTGATTAAAAAACTTAACCATTTCTTTACAATTAAACTCTATAAATCCATTACCGCTTGAGAAACACTGCTGAAAGGTGGTGCTATCAGTCACCAGATTTGCCTAACTCCCACCATTTCTTTTCAAGAAAGGCCCACTGTGGTTATGCTTCACACTCATTTCATGATTGTGTTCTATTTGTTCATGTTTAGTGTCACTCACGATTTCAGCACTTGTCCATGAATTTTTATCCATGTTTGTCTGTTGGCAAGGAGCGATCACAAAATAAAATGAACAAGAGGCAAGGTTGATTACAAAGAAACACACACACACACACAAAAATCTGCACACCCATAAATCAAAACTTGAATTGTCCTACAACCTTTTGAGAACACCATTTTCCTATGTGATGCTGGAAATCAAGGAGTTGTGAAGAATCTAGATGGAGCCTACTTAAAATATGTTCTTTGCTCCTTATATTCAAATACTTTGATGACTGAGACTTTAGAAACCATCACATTTAGCAGAAATGCAATATTAACTCATAAGACAATCAAGAGAGCATTAAACCCAAGTCAGGCAAAACCCACAAAGACTATAAACTTAACTGTTATCCCTATATAGGCCACATGTACACATGTAAGTATATATTTTCACAGTAGCATTGTAAAATGCTTCTTACCTGAGGGGATTTTTGCATCCGAAATACACTGGTGCCTCCAAAAGCTAATGGCAGATCTTTCTCTGTTCTGCAGCCGACATAACCTCTCAGCTAGCCCACCCCTGCAGAGAATAAAGGCATGCTCAGTTTTGCCAGGAATCAGCATTGGGTTTTGCCAAGTGACAAGCCATAGGACAGATGTATATGTATATACATTATACATATATGTATGCTTTGACCCTTAGAGACAGAATCATGTAGTAAAATTATGCTTTGCAGATTAGTTCTCCTAACTTTGATTTTCCAAGGGACACACTCCCAATAAAACATACACTTAGAGTCAAAACAAACAATAAAACATTTTCACTCTCTGGATGTCCAAAATTTTCATGTTTTCAGTCCCATCTCCAACATAAGGATTGTAACAAAAGGTTCCCAACTTTTCTTTGCACTTATGCATGGATCCTAATAGACACTAGAGACAACTGAGAATTCAAAACAAACCAGTGTAACCACTAGTTATAACAGGTTGGGTTTTCTTTTCCCTCACAGATTTGTTTGTCTGTTGGCAAGGAGTGATCACAAAAATATTCTTTTACCCATACTTGACCCTATGATTCATTTCACAAGCTGGGTCAAGTGTGCAGTTTCAGTGGTCTGAACACTCTCCAAGATGAAATTAATTTAGCATTCCCAAGGTGAGGAGTAGAGGAGTGGCATCTAGCACAAATACACTTAAGGTAACACTAAAGCAACTCCTACTCCTGGTTTCAAAGCCAGAGGACATAATTTCTCACTTTAAGAACAAAAAGTTGTGTGTTAGAAGCTGTCTTTGGGCTACTACAAAGAGCTCTGGACTACTGTGGAAGTGTCTGAACACTTTTCTTTGGTTTCAAAGAAGTAATTTGCATAAAAACCTACTTCATTCTTTCCTTGTAGTGTTTTTCCAGAAGTACTACTGAATTTATCAATAAGGGTTTCTACTAAGGTGAAATGTGTCCTTGGGTTAAACTTGGTTAGGAATCAACAGAGATAACACACAACTATTTGTGCACATGAATAGAATTTTTTAGTTCAAAAAAAAGACAAATAGCTTGGTTAAGCTCACGCCGCACATGTGAAACTAGGAAGACACACCTGTGGAAATCAAGAAGAAGCTAAAAAGGCTAAGCAGGACTTCAAGTAAGCTGTAAAAAATCTCTGTCTGGTTACCAGTTACTAAGTAATTTCACCCACAGACAAATCAACACATTATATGAAAAGGAGTTTGCAGTCTCAGCTGAATTTTTAATGAACAACTATATCCTTTGCAAAATTGTAACTATCACAAGAATTATTAGAGGGCATGGCTAAACATCTTGGTAGTAAAGATCACAGAATGAACACTATGAAATACAAGAGCCACATTTGACCCAGAAGAATCTACAGAAGTTTTGTAGTTTATATCACTGCATCTCCTCTATGGCTGCTGTAAGGCAGAGAGGAGAGAAACTCTGACTCTTTAAGAGGAGGAAAAAAAATCCCCAAACCCCCAAAATAAAGAACTCAGACTTAACAAGCTATAAAACCTGCTATAACAAGAAGGAAAACAAACAAACATATTTAGGAAATCTTGGGCTGAAATGAAGTTCCAGATGAGCCTAACAACCTTGTTTAATCCTGGTTTCAAGATGGACTTTAAGGCATAAGGGCAACTAATACAGGTAAGTGCAATCAAAACTTTGGTAGCAAGAGAAGCACAGCCAAGCACAGAACTTCATACAGGAGAACATACTCTGCTGATAACACTGTGCTCATCTACATTTCCCCCAAAACATGAGCACTGAGGTGTTACCACACCACAGCACTTGTGGCCAAGACAGTTCTACAAACTCCAAGATGCCCACCAAGTTCCTCTTCTCACCATGGAACTATTCTCAGATACAGTTGCAGTTCAGTTTGCCTGTGTGGTTTACACAAGCCATGCTGAAACTCAGCTAGGTTCAGAAATACAGCAGTAAAACACATTTTGAGATTGCTTGTTTTAAAAGTCTTGCATGCATGACTCTGCAACTGAACTCCGTGGCTGGGACTGCAGCAATACACCATACAGCTAGCAGCTCAAACCCTTGTTTTGCTGAAAGAAAACTGTTCAACAGGGCTGTCCTAAACCCCTACTCCATTCCCTCCACAGACAACAGTCACAGAAATGTATTTTCTTAGTTCAAATAATGCCAGAAAGCCTTAAGGTACCTTCAGAAGAGAGCAGTTATTACTGGCTTACAGCCTAATTTCCCCCTTTTTCCCCAAAGAGGGCTATGGTTGTGTCCAGTCAATAAATTCCTACTCTTCTGCAAGCCAACCACAGTTCCACAGGAATGTCCTGTAGCATGAAGGAAAGCAAGTTTCAGGATTTAGGGCCACTGCACACATCACTATTCCTGTTTCAGGCCTGATATGCCTACTAGTAGGGTCTCACTGACATTCACAGCTTCATAACTAATTTGCTAACCATGTCTGTATTAGGATAAGTCATCACAATAGTCCAAGAAAAGTAAATCTGTGACTTTCCTTAGCTGCCCTGTGTGCTAAGAAAATAGATCGTTATTTATTAATCATTCCAAATGCAAACTGAAAATATCGTAAAGCATTTTGCATATTCTTGGTTGCAGAACACAAAATATAACCACAAATGCATTTATGAGAGGTTCTCAGCTGGTCATTGTAAATGTTTTTATAATGTCTGTTTCAAACCTTGTGAAATTGGAAAACAATTCAAGGACATGCCATGCACAAAAGGAATTTCTATGGCAAGAGCAAGAGTTAGAACTTTACGGTTTGTTTCTTTCAAAGAGGTAGAAACAAAGGAGTTTAAACACCGCCCCAAATCCAGGAGGATTAATCCCCTTTTTAGCTCAAACACATAAAATAAACAAAGAAAAAGGTGCTTTTTGTTACATAACCTGTCAGATTTGATGACAACAGCATTTGAAAGCAACTAATTCCTTCTCATACAGTACAGGTGCCCACATTATTAAAAACACTTGTGCATGTGCTGTGAGATACTGTGAACTACACAGCCAGAGTCACTTCAGGATGTGTGGATAAGAGGTAAGCCAACATTTGAGGTTTGTATTCATATATATATATATATATATATATATATATATACACACACATCTCAAAACATTTGCCAAATATATATATATATTTTTTTTTTGGCAAATGTTTTGATTACTAATGTATGATTTCTGTTATCAAGGGAATCAACAAATGATTGAAATAACAAAAGCTGTAATTTCAGATGCATACTTTACTGACCAGCTTTTCAAATTTGCTCCCAAAATGTTTTAATATGAGCAAATTGAACACATTTGGAGAATTGTTAATGCAAAGGCTGTTCAGTGAAGCCAAACTGCTCAGATACTATCTCCACTGCCCACAACCTTTTTATTTTTAATCACAAAACTTTCAGTACAACTATTTTTCCCTTTAATTCCCTGAAGGCAGACAGATTTAAAAAGCAGCAATTCATGTCCTATTTCCATACTAAATCTGAGCTTGTTGAAATACTGTATTTAAAACAACATATTGCTATTACTGTCCATGTCCAACAATATTCACATGAAGGACAGCTTTGATGACCATAGGAAAAAGCTCAGCATCCTGCACAAAAGCTCTGTTTCTGGTAGTTGCCTCTTCCCACAAACTTTAACAGCAAGACCAAAGAGTTTTGTGCCACCATGCGACAACCATCACCAAAAGGTAACACTGACCCTGATCTGTGACTCTCAGGCTGCTGGTCCCTATCTCCCAAGTCCAGTGAGGCTAATGGAAAACAAAACAAAATAAAACCCCAAAACAACAACAAAAAGAAAGAGCACTAGTGAGTGTGATGTGTTTTGAAAAGTAATTTTCAGTCTTTCCAAAGTGGTGGAGATGTCTCTGTGTTTATTTTTTAAGGTTTTTATTCAGCAGGGCACTTACCAAAAATAACCCCACATTCATCCAAATTTACTCCTTTCCAGACTTGACTTGAATGTAAGAACAGTGAACACTTAAGCATGTCATTACTGAGTTGTCTTCTCATATACGCTATATGAAGGACTCCATATAATTCAAAAAACGAAAGGTTATGCAAATATATATCCCCATCTCAGGACTAGGTAGCTTCCCTCCTCTCTTTTCAAAGCCAATACAGATCTTCTCTCCTACTTCCATGTTAACCAGTGAAGTAACTGACTTCTGCCACAATCAGCTGCACCTTTCCACTCCACAGGGCATTTGCTAAAGGATGAAAAATGACCCCTAAGCGTGCTGGCATTTAGTTTGTCAACAGTGCAACCCCATCAGCCAGTTTACAACTTGCAAAATAATAAGCAACACTGAATGCTGACAGTCACTACCAAGTGCTACTTTAGTGTACATAACAGCACAGGTACATCTGAAAGACGTGATTAAAACATGTTGGCCACACAAACACAAGTTTCTACAGAGGCCCACCTCCTCTCCAGCACAGAAGAGAAGCTGTTGACTTCATGAGGCAACAAGGGATCAGAAAGAGTAATTTTAGCTTTACAGATCAGCCTCACTCAAGCTCTGACTCGACAATAGATTCATCAACCTTCACCTTGGATGAACCACCACTTCCATGATCTCTGGCATTATTCTGTACCAGATGCTGGATTTTCTTGCACTGATTGCTGACTTTCAATGTTCTCATCTATTGCACCCATTCAGAGAGGTTTTTTTTATACACCAGTCAAATCAACAAGGCAGACAAGGCAAGTCTCTTCTAAAACCTTAAGGATTCAAGGATTTAAGAGTTCAATAAGCCAAAGTCTGTGTAGTCTCTCACCTCTCTTCTTGCAATCGTTCCACAGAGGAGGTCACCTCCACAAAATATACATGGAACAAAGATACCATTGTTGCAATTCCCCACAGCACAGTGAGAGAGAGAGGTATCTTTCAGCAACTGCATTAGACAGAACTGACCATCCAGAGAAATAACAGTGTCTTCAGCTGTAAATTCCATCCAGCATACACCAGAGACATCCTCAACACCACCTTTAACAATTCAACATTTGCCAGAAGTGCCTGGACATTATACCGCAATTATTCTTGCAAATTAAAAATAGTTCTT